AAACTAAGCACATTATATACTCGCTATACCAGCCGGTCTACTCCCGTTTGTGGCGTTTTTTCTCACATCTTGAAGTGACCATCAAACATAACTGAAATGCATTCCACCAGTCAGTTCGGCTCAAACATGGAACGTCACAGACTCGTTAATGGAATTTACTCTTCCTGCAACAAGTGGATGAGTCACCCGCATGAATAAATAAATGTTCTATTGCCGCTCATTAAGGACCGCGTTGAATTTGGTTTGCCTCTCAACCTGCTGTTGGTCCACCTTAATAACAGGACAGGCTTTGCACATGAGCATAAAGCTGTCGTTATAAATCGCATATCAGTTGGTACGCTCAACGAGACGATCCAATTGGGCGTGTCTGCTTCAAGATTCCACGAGGAGCAAAATGATGATTCATATAACACGGCGATCCTTTGATATCGTACAAATGGAGGCGGCGTGGCCCTTGTCAAAGCGTCCTTGAGGCAAGATAGTTGGTCCTGATGCATCACAAGGTGGATGTGAAGTCAGTGTGAAGGGCTTTGAGGGCCTTAACAGGTGGAAAAGCGCTATACAACGAAAGACCATTTACCAGACGTAATCAGCATTGTGACAGCATCAACGTAAAAGCATTTAAACAAAACCTGGACAGTATTCATCTCGGGGGATATTCTCCAGTTCGCGCTTAAAACCCTGGAAGAACCCACGGGGTCAAATTTGGCTCCTATAAATTCTGATACTGAAATATAACCCTTAAATCCCAAAGGGTCAAATTTGGCCCTAATCCTAAATTAGGATTAAAGCATTGAATATTTGAAAAAAAACATATTTTGGTGTTCGGTGAACATATAGCAGTCATTTAATGTATAATTCATCATTTTCCAAAGAAGAAAAGGGTTCTTGGGTTCTCCAGGGTTAAATCAGCTCGTTCATGCGTAACCTGGAAATATGTGTGCAACCACCAAACAGATGTGATTCGGTGAAGTCTAAGATACTATATGCGCACCTTTAACCCTTTCATGCACCCTGTAACCTGAGAACATGATATGCTGTCCACTGTAGTAATCGCTGTCCCTGGAAGGGTTAATGTGATGCGTGGAAGTCAGTCTTGTGGTCTTCCAGCACTGCTACGGTGTCATTGCTTTTCTATCCAAATTTGTTTTGTTTTTGGAAATGAATCAAGATCTTTTTGCTCCATAGCAGAGTATGAACGTTATTCGAAGGGAGAGGCAAATATGACGATTGGTAAACACATTTATTTGATTCTTATCTAGATTCACTGTATTATTCCAGATCAACATATACGGCGCTCCACAACTGCCATGAACGCTGGAAGTCACGTATGCGCTCTCCTCGGTTGCCAAGGAGACCGCACTTCTTTCGCACGTGTCTCCCTCATCCATCTTGTTTTACGAGTCTCGATATGATGAATATTTAAGATGCAATAATCACTTTATTGATGCTGCAAATATGTGCCACATGATTTTTTTTTTTTGTCTCTTACCGCAGACTGCTGTATGTTTTAGCAAGAGCGGACAATTTTCTTTTTTAATTTCTTCACATTTTTTTGGAAGTAATTTGCTCAAATTTGCATACCGTGTCTGCCTGTGGTGGTAGATTACCATTCCAATCCCTGGTTTACATTTTTACTTTGATTAATGGCACCAAGCAGACTTGTCGACATACATTGGAACACAATCCGCACACCGCGCATCATGTTGAACGCACTCTCGTCTTGACTTGGAAGAAGCATACCGTGGGGGAAGATGGAGCAATTTGATATTAACGCACATGCATTGCCTCATGGATATTAATCATTAACACGTTGGCCATGCTTGCATGGTTACACAGTAATGATGTTATATGCACTCCAAAATGCTATGAATGTGTATTGCTGCCTACAAAAATGTTCGGGGGGGGGGGAGAAAGAATGGATTTCGTCTGCAAGGTGTTCTCCATGTGAGCCATGTACGTTAGAAATGAACCTATTCTTGTGTGTGTGTGTGTGTGTGTGTGTGTGTGTGAGAGAGTTTACCAAAGGTGTTCATTACATTGCTCAATCAATACACCGCTGAGACTGCCCACCATCTCAGAGGACGCGTACCTCTGCCTCTGAACTCTTTCAGACATCTCACAATGTTCCCCATTCGAGTGAAGGAAGCACATTGCTGCAGAAACCAAGTTAATGAAGGGCTCACACAGACCCCACCCCCCACCCCCACCCCCCCGGTAAGGTCTTCAGTCTACATTCATCATGAATTCGATCCCCCACCGCCCACCCCCCTCTGCACGCACACACTGAGAGAATCAGGAATCATTACAACACAACTTGTGGGCATCCCCTGCACATAAATAAACATGCTAATTGACCTGTCATAGCTAATTGCTGCAGGGGATAGGAGACTGTTGTGTGTGTGTGTGTGTGTGTGTGTGTGTGTGTGTGTGTGTGTGTGTGTGTGCGCACGCATCTGTATATGTGGATGTGAATGGAATTGGATCTAATGAGGTGGTTATGCAGGTGGATGTGATTTCTTTTTTTAAAGACAGGTGTTTGATTCAACAATGTGTGTTTTTGAGCATTGTTTTCCTGCAATGGTGAGGACTAACGACACAGATCTAACTGTCCTTTTTGAGGACAGAAAATGACAGTCACAGAAAGAAAGTACATTCAGATGAGAAAAGTGTCCGAATTTTCTTTTTCTTTTTTGTTTGGGTGGAAAAGTGTGTTCATTATGCAGCCATTATTCATCAGCTTTGCAATGGGGTGCAAAAGAGAGCAGGCGAAGAGTCAGCACTGCCTTCCAGCGCAAGGCCAGACAGAGCAAAATACACAAATTTGAAATCGAGTGATCAAAACAAACGCTCAAGAGAGTGGTGGAACGAAATCAATTTTTTTTTTCCCTCACCACTTTTCACACCACGTGGTTGTCAACTTAAGCACCCTGACACAAACAACCAAATAACTTCAGTTCAAATTTCCGGGAAATTGACTTCTCACACCATGTTGAGTCATCTTTACTCTCGTTGTTGCGTGCCATCCGGAGGGAACTAACTGGGAGCACCGACATGCTGCAGGCCAAGAAAAAGCTGTTATGTTTATCTTTCCTGAAATTGTTGATTCAATTATTTTGTGTAAAACAAACCAGAAAGTTGCAAATCGATCCAAGCAGCAGGTCAACCCATTTTGAACACACATTTTTTTGGGAAGGTTTTTTTGGTAGATTTTTTTTTTGTTGTTGTTGTTTTGTTTCGTTTTTTTTTTTTTTGACCGAGCAGTTTAAAAAATGTGCGTATTCTAAGTTCTGTTCTGTCATATTGGATCAAAGATACACTGTCAAAAACACAACCTGTATTTTTGGGGGGCTAAAACGGTCATTTATGTAAAAGTAAGAGTTGTTGTTTATGGCAACATTAGCAAAACATGAAACATTTTGTTGACACGCCAAACTTTTTTATCGGAATTTATCGAAGCATTGCCATTTTGAGTGAGCCCAACTTTTTTATTTATTTATTTTTTTTTACAGTGTACTATTGAACTATAATGTGGGCAGCCAAGTTTCTGTGCATCATGACTTTCCCGGTTTGCAGCGAGGATTACCGGTAAGTCTTCCGAGAGGCTGTGTCATTGGGTGCGCACATCCTATTTTGATCTGTAAAATAAGCGTAAAACCTTGTTGAGCGCCCTGAGATCAGCACATTCTCGATGAGGCAAATAATCCACTGGCAGCTGTGTGCACAAGCTTGTTGCTGACATTCAGCAGAAAAAGCAGCCTGATGTTCAGTCAAAAAGTCCTCATTCATCAATATGTACCTCCTTCCAAAAATATCAAAATGCTCCAAATCTTCAAAATGATGTATTGCACGAAAAAAAAAAAAAATTCACTCCCTGGATCAAAACCTAAGGTCGATTCAGACATGTGATACTTTTTCATTCCTCTCGTTAGTTTTGATTCATCTCCAGATTGCTTTAACAGATTATATGGATCCCGCCGCGTAAAGGGAAATCATTCCCAAATGTTGGCAAAGGCGCCAACATGACAGATGCTTTGAGCTTTATTTTTATGACACTGGAATAAATGGATTCAATAACCTTGTCAGCAATCAGCGACTTTCCGAGATTTATTCGCAATTTACAAGGAAGACTGAAAACGGTCAAAATGCATCTCCACGTGCAAGTAAGCTTCTGTGAGCTCACCGTGAGAGTTCTGCAACTTTTCTTTCACTACTTGTGGTGAATTTCATCAGAATTTTTTCTTTTTTTATCAAATTCCAAACATACTCTCAGGCTCAATTCTTTTTATTCCAAGCAGGCCTCAGAGTGTTGCAAACACACACACACACACACACACACACACACACACACACACACACACACACACACGCACAAACACACACCGCTTTTCTTGCTTGGCTGCATAGGAGACTTCCCTCTTGGGAAGTGAGAAGAACCCCTCAGTAGATGAAGCCTCCCAAAGATAAGAGAGTTGACAAAAAAAAAAACAAGCAATCCCATGTAATACCCTGGAAATAAAAGCCTCATCAATCTTCATTTTTGTTTTCTACTTCTTGGACCAACACACTCGCAATAGTACAGTTGCAACATCCCGGGGGCCTGAACTTGTTTGTCAGTTCAGAGAAAATCAATAAAATTGTTCCGAGGTCACTCCTACAGATGAGTGGGTCACAAATTTAGGTCGAGTCATGGCTTTGCATTCAACAACATGTAAAGTTGGGAAGCGGTATATGTAGTAAAAAGGTCAGTGCTAAGATCTGACTGATGGTAACAGAAAAAAAAATTATACATGTAAAGACTTTTTTTCTTATTGATTCCATTCAGCAATGTACAAATAATCCATGACCCTGTCATGCATGATTTTTGTTGTTTTCTCTTGTCATGACTTACAAGACATGGACTTTTGCATCTGCTCGTCATAAGCGTGCTGATGTCTTTTTTTTTTTCTCGAACAATGAAACAATAGCTTTGGGATATTGATCTCATTTTGCGCTCTTACCTGAAATGGTCCGCTGGGACTGATGTCAAAGTATGCTTTCTTCCAGTCGGGCCCTTGATGACCCGATTTGGTCCACAACATGGAATCCATTGAGGCGATGCTCCTTATTTTCAAAAGAACATTGAGAGTGCCTGTGAAAAGGCATGGCCTATTTAGGAAAGATGTCGAAATACATTCAAAGGACATATAGCACATTATATAATGGCATTCAATTCAAGAGCCGTATTCAATTACAATGGGAAAATATTTTACTTTTTTTTTTTTTATAATGTATTAATGGATCTTAATAGACAGTGATTTTTTGCATGTTGCATATTCTTCCTGTGCCTTTTTTTAACAGGTACTCTGGCTTTCCTCAACATTCCAAAAACATCAGTGTTAGGTTAATTTCAGTTGATTTCATTTTAAACATTTTTGCTTCACATAACATTTGACATTGCGCTAATAACGTTTAATATCATTCAACAAGTGGAACACCTTCCTCCTGGGCGACTCGGAGAAATAAAATGACGCCACTACAGTATACGTGGCGACTGGTTGGCGATCCGTACGAATTTTTAACATCACAAAAGTGATTCACTTTTATCACAACGCCAAGTAACGACTGCGATAACATAACACCACCTCCCTGAGGTCCTCAAAACAAGCTCAGAGCACAACTCCTCCTACTTTCTTAGGCCTCAAAGTTGTTAAAGAACCATTCATCTTGTTATGAATTCCCAGACAGCTCTTAAGTGCAATATTAACCAACATCCAGTCTCTTAACACATGCGTAGGCAGTGGTGCTAAGGTATTTTATGCATTTCCATTCGGTGAGAGTCATTTTTTTTCCTTCCCCAAAAAATTAATCGCTCCATATGCCCACAAAATGTTCCACCTACTCTCCAGGGTGAGATTTGCATGTTTTTGGAGGTAATGTGACTCAAGCCTTGAAATAATCAAGCCAGTAAGTAATTAACATTTTATTCTGTCGCAAGGGATGTGTGCCAAGGGTAAGAGTAGTGTAAATGACACCAAAGTCATTAAGATTTTAAAATCCTGTTGGTTCAACTCCATTCACTTGGTACTCCTCTTGAAAAATACCTGTGCTAACACAACCTGAGACGTGACCTAGCTTGGCCGCTATAGACCTCCACTGTAAAAACAATGTTGACTTTTTGTCACCAATGGCATACTGGTTCACTCGCCTGACTTCTGGTTCCGTGAACAAGTGAGTGTGAATGGTGGTCTGTCTCTATTTGTGTGCCTTGTGATGGACTGGCAAGCTATCTGTGGCTTTGCTTTATTTTTCCCACTGAAGTTAGCTTGCGCAGCCTCCAGCTTCCCACAACAAAAAAAACAATTCAATACATCATATTCATAACGATGCCGTCCTCTGGCCGCCAGATACTTAGTACTGAAGACAAACCAAGGCTTACAACATCATGATTAAGAACACGAAGAGCCAATTGCGTTCACTTGAAATGAATGATCCAAGTGTCAACGCCCTTGGATTAGGAACGTAAGGACAACTCCATGACCCTAAAGCAAAGGAAGTCATTATGGCACACGGACAAGGCAAGTTTAGGACCCGCACGCCACAAACATTTCATGATGAATGCCACGCTTACTTGACATTTTGTATTGGAATATAATGTTGGAAGAAGACGAATGTTAATTCTCACTACCGCCTGCTCTGTGCTGTCTTTACAAAAATTGATACGCACGCACATGCACGCAAAGACAAACACACACGGTGCAACTTTTCGATTTGGTCAAGAGATACGCTGACAGTGTCTCCTTGGCCTGACCCTCATCCGCCTTGAGACTTCTAGAATAAACGGGCAACTCAACGAACAAACTTGGCTCCCGCGGTGAGACGCGGCAAACACTGGGATTTATGGTCGCAGGTTAAAGGGGTAACGTTCATGTTTTCGGTGATCTCTGCTGCTCTACGTAGTCGTCACAGGCCATGGGGACAGTAATTGTTTGCATGAACGCATTAGTGTTTAAATTGTAATGTGCCGATAATAGTGTTCGATATGCTTTTCAAAATGTATTTATGCAAATAAATGCATCGCCCTATCTGCAGTTGAGTAAATAAATGGCACAGGTCACCTTTGGGGGAAATACATCATAAGCTACGCGCATAATGGCAACGGTTTGTACCTGCAACTGCTTGTTTTTATTTCCATTTCCAATGGAATTTTTTTTTTTAAACTTTAGTATTTTTAATTGCAAATCTTTGTGCGTTTGCCCTTCCATTGTATGCAGAACAATGATGAACTCTGTTACTTTGAGGTACAACAAGCGCAAAAAGTTTCTCGCCATCTTAACCGCACACGAATCAACATATGGCCAAAATGTTTGTCCCTTAAATCACACCGGAATTCTTTTAATTAAAAATCCTAACCAGACCATCACACAAGTGACGGCTCATTTAAATAAGCATTCATTTGCCTTCCATCACTGTTGCTCTCAAAACAATCCAAACAGTTCCAAGTCTTCTTTGCCAGTGGCGCTGTGCAAAAACTGAGCCAAACTAAAAGAGGACCACAGAAACTTCTTCAACTGTTTTATGGGCTGCTGCCAGCGAAGAGTTGCACTAAGTTGACCCAAACGATTCACGGCACCAGATATGGACTTGCATGTCGCACATTCTGTTTCACAACGCAATAGCCCAAGGACAGCAAAACCGGGAATATACAGTCCAAGTGTGTTTTTCAATAGGCACGTACTTTCTCTTCAAACTGGTCGAGTGCATGTGCATCGCTAACGGTGCTTTTTTGTGTCATCTGACTGTATGCGTACATCAATGTGCTGATGGCCTTTTCAGCCGTCCTTCTGTTCAAGTCTTTTTTTTTTTCAACATCACTCTCACACAGCCTTTCAAGCTCTTTAGAAAGCTTTACAACATTTTTTCTGAAACGCTGCTTCACTCATCCTCCATGCCGTCCCCTTTCCACTTCGCTCCACCCTCCTCCCCCCCCACTCCTTTTTTCGCAGTACCCCTTCCCCACTTCTTTATTTTGTCGTGGGGAGCACCGCAGCCACTACGCGGCTGCAGCCTAAGCAAGGGCAGAGAAAGGCAATTAAAATGACGACAGATTGGAAGCGAACGACAGCGTCGATGAAAGGGGATCTTGTCGACGAGCTTGCCGTCAACTACAGATTGTTGTAATCGGAAGCAAGTGCGAGGTGACAGATGTTGGCTTGCTGTGAAACAGCATCGCAACAAGACCACCAGTGATGAGAACTTTGATTTTATAGATGCCTCAAGAGAAAATGACCGTGTTTGTCGTGGAATATATGAGCTTTGTAAACATGTCTCTTTTGCGTTTAGGTCCTCAATCCTAAAGTCTTCCTAAATACAAAAGCAATGTAAGTGCCAAGGCTTCAATATTTGTCATCTGAGAAATCACCAGCCAAGAGTTAAAATGTCTTCATTGATTCCAAAATGGCTCACAACGTGCCTGATAATACCGTGCCCCTCCATGCCGAAAGACACAGACAGAAAGCTTTTTTTTTTTTTTTTAAATCTCCTGGATTTGATGGAACACTAATTGACTTGGCCCTAATGCCAGCAGACTGTAACTGGATCGGCACCAAACTTGAATGGGTTCCTCCTTGGCCCTTGCGCCAACTCCCCCACGCCCCAAAAAAATTCAGTAAGCTCAGTTTTGTCGTTTTTGCATAAACAAATCAACTCATATATTCTCTTTGACTTATTGCTTCCTGTGCTTGGTGAAGTTAAGATCCCACAAAAAGCCCAAAATGACAATAATTATATAATAATGATGAAAATACAAACTTGGCCCGATGATATTTTACAGACATTGTACCTGGAAATGTGTTTTCTAATTGTTTTTAACTTTTTTACATCATTTTTTTCCGTCCCCAAACAGAAAAGGATTTTTAAAATCCTAAATATTGATCATGTTTAACATTTACGTCTGTTGGCTTTACCGTTTTCCAACACCAATTGTTCCGAAAGAAAACACTCTGAATAACACACACACACACACACACACACACACACACACACACACATATATATATATATATATATAAAAAAAGCAGGCTACGTGTTTATTTTTTTTCGAAACAATTGGCAAAACCAGTTTTATGCAACCCCTCTATTGCAGATATTACACATCAATGCATATGAACACGTTCAGTGAGGATATCTTAGTTTGTCCCCACTGTTTAACACCATTATTTTGACATCCCGTGTGTGTGCGTGTGTGTGTGTGTGTGGAAATCTGCTGGCTCAGAGAGTTAGTTGCATGCCTTATTGCTGTGTGACAGAGCATATGATGATGAACAGCTTACCCAAGTGACTGACTGTCGTGCCATTGCCATAAATCACACACCCACTGCCCATTTGAAAAACAAACACAAACACACACAGACACACAAAACTGGTAAAAAGTGGAAACGTACAAAGACCCCACCCACCCTCGCTATTGTCTACACGTCAAGCTCAACCAGTGTGAGTCAAGTACAAAGCTGAGATTTGGACAAGGCCGTGCAGAACTAAGAACATTTCACCGAAGCACAACTTGCCAACCCTCCTGGATTTCACTTGTCAATCCGTCGCGGAGCGGTGTTGGCCGCGGCCACCATCGGGCACCACGTAGCTCCGCTTATGGCCTGTTTACAGTTTGACGGACGTGTTTAGAACCATCAAGCGATACCGCTGTGTGTACATACCAAGGCAGCTCAAATAGTAACCCAATGATATCGACACTTAAAATGCTTGGCAAAAGCAGCAAAATGTCAAGTGGCATAACATGAACAAATGTTTCATTCGCTTTAAATTTCAGTGCGATCGTATTTGAAAGTGAAAACTGACTGCGGTCATAATGGCAGAACATCTGCAGACTTTTTAAGAGCTTTTTTTTTTTTTTTAATGGCCGTTTTGATCACATTTCAGGCCTTGTGTTCATGTGACCATTTGGAGTGGGTATTATGTGATCAATATTAGAGTAGATGTAAAAGTCGAACCCGTCTTTTTCAAATGGTAGGGCACACACACACACACACACACACACACACACACACACACACACACACTCACTCACTCACTCACTCACTCACTCACTCACTCACTCACTCACACACACACGCTTGCCAGAAATTCCTGTATTTCTTTCTGTGTTGCTGTCATTCTCTTGGCAGCCTCCCTAACCAGTTTTCATTTCATCTTATCATCAATTTCTTTGGTCATGTCTTTTTTCTCCACTTCTTGATGACTGTCTTCACTGTGTTCCATGGTATGTTTAATGATTTAGAACAAAAAAAAAAAAGAACTTGTGCAACCAATTTGATTCATTTATTTACTTTCTCTCTTGAGTTGAACATGTTATAGGTCAAATTAGCCGTGGGAAAAATTTGTAAATGAACTTGAAATGATCGTTTTGCATGATCGGAGCTAATTTGACATGGACGAGACATATTGTGGCATTTTAGAACTTGTAACAGTGGATTGAGGGGTTGTAATTTGTAAGGAAAATTAAGTACTAAAATTTTTCCCCACATGTCCAAGAGCGCCTAAATTGTTTTGGTAGAGAATAATACACTTAAAATGAAATTCTGCCATAAAACACCATATGGTGCTGGATGCTTGTTGTGAGTCTAGTTTAAATATAAAATACAATATATACCGTATATATATGCACCGCATGCACTGCATGCACTGCATGTTTCAATGTTTCATGTCATTTCTCTGGGGGGGCCTCTCAAGGCCTATGTTATTCTCTCATTCACTCACCAATGTGCTTGCCCTTCATGTGGTAATAGAAGGAGACACAGTAAGGGACTCTGCCGGAGCCCTTGGGGCCCCTGACCGTGGTCACGTTAAAAAGTGGAGAGAGCAGACGAGCCTTGTCCCCTTGAACTCGTGGCCGCGACGCTTCGATGTACATGTAGTAGCCTGAGAACAAGAAAACGGCATTCAGAGACCCAGCACGACTGTGTCGAACATTGAATGAAAAGAATTCCCCGTTCCTCACCTTCTTTGGTTCCGCTGCGATCCGTCTCCGGGCCTGTATTGGCAGACCGCTTGGGATTCTGAGTCAGGTGATTTTGTCGCGTCCAGTCAAAGACGTCGCTTCGGTCTTGTGAAAAACCGCAGATCCGCTCATCCTCAAACCCACACACGTGATCTGGTGTGTTAATGTGGGGGAAAAAACAGAGCGTACAACTGTGTGAGATTAAAGAGTATGATATGCAGAAAGAACACTTATAAAAAGGCAATCGTCTTTTTTTTTTTTTTTACAAACAATGAGGAAATTGTAATGTAGGAAATCTGAAGTGGTTTAACATGTAGTTTTGACAAAATTTTGGAGGTGGAAATAGGCCTTTAAAGTCACAAAGAAAAGCACATCGTCGTCATCATGCAGATCAGGTCAAATATTCTGAGCTCATTTCAAAGGCTATTAAAGGTTTTTTTTTTATCATGTAACCGTTCAGTGGTGCGTTTTACTACACACACATAAACAAAAAAAAAATGAATCAAAAAATAAATAAGACTAAGAATACATTTAATTTATAAGCGCCTTTCAAAACACTCAAGGATAAGATAAGACAAGAAAACCTTGATCAAGTCAAGTACAACTTTATTGTCAAATTTATTCTCTCACAATGGAGAATTTCTCAATCTACAGCAGCAAAATTTGGAGGTAAGAAATAGAAAAAAAAGAAAAAAACGAAGTATTTGCATGCACAAAAATAATTTAAAAAAAGAACTGTACACAGTACAGAATGCAATATAAAATATGACATATAATATATAAGCATATATGCAACTGCATATATGACACTTTATAATCAAGCACAAAAGAATAAAACCACAGATAAAACTATAAATAAGAAAAGATGTCATTTAAAGGGAGAATGCAATTTGGAATAGGTGGCTTTTGAGACGGGATTTGAATGTTGGAGGAGGATCAATATTACGGATGTTAGGTGGAAGTGAGTTCCAGACTTTGGTATTTTGCACCGTGACAACTGCCCAGCCTGTATACGGCTGACATATTGGACGGGGTTTATGACGACAACTTGGTCCAATCTCAAACTGACCCAACTTGAGGCCAAGTTTAATGAAAAAGCCCCCTGTGTGCCCAAGTGCTTTGTATCTTGGGATGTATATGGGTTAAAAATCAATACTTGCTAGCAGTCAGCCGGCAAAATGAATCAGTGCCTGATCTGGATTACCATCAAAGTATGTTGCACCCCCCCCCCCCCCCCCCCTTTTTTTTTTTTTTTTTGTCGCTGGTTCTAATTCAAACCACTGACCCAACACCAGCTCATGTACACGTGTGTGCTGACACATCCTCTCAAAGAGCACGGTGTGACTTTTAGTGCTTTTCTTTGTGACGAGCGGAGAAGTTGGACTGGAGCGGAGTGCAGTTCATCAACTGATCCTGACGGGGAATGCTCCTCAAATGCCACTACATAGATCACTGCAAGAATGGTGTCGGGTTGCTTGCAAGGGCTTTACATTATAGAATGGAGAAGGCTAACATTTTCGCAAGTGAAAGCCTTTGCAGCACAATACAGGGATGGATAAGCGGTTCAAAAAATGGATGGATTTAAGTTACCCGGATTTACGTGAAAAAAAATGATGTATTAGTTTTAATGTGCTACTTGCTTTTTCTTATATTTTTTACTCCATTTAATTTAGTAAATGTAAAAGACATTTTCTAGTCAGATTGACTCACGTATTTACCGTTATTGTGTTGACATTTAGAACTGTTTTAAATCGAAGAACGTTGACGAAGGAAACCTGACAATCATTCAAATAGAAACGAGTACTGAGGTGGAAATTTCCCAACTCTGTGGGATGTCACTCCGCTTACTTTCTCTGTATTACAATTTCTGAGTTATATTGTGCTTCAGATTACCGGTGGTCAGAATGCAACAGGCAATTTAATCAAAAACACTCGGCCATAAGCCATTCTCCTTCACTCAACATTTTGCCGTCTGTATATTTGCAAATGCATTTCCTTGAGCTTTTTGTGCTTATATCCATTCACAAGATGTTTGTGATGATAACCCGAGGAGTGTGTTGTCCTAAGGGATCAAATTGTTTTCCTCGCCCCGGGCACTGGCCACCCACCCTGTGGCACCATATTTCGGATGTTAATAGCTTGTCAAGCCAATGAATCCTCACATTTTTAGTAGTCCGAATAGAAGACTCTGGCATTACCTGAAACTCGCCGCACACCAAGAATGCAGGGAAATGACTTGTTCAACACATTTAGATTTAACTCGCATGAAATAGAAGCTGGAATTTGGAACTTTGGTCTCATCTTCCCTTTTGATCTGAAACCCAAATGGCCATCCATCCATCCATCCATCCATCCATCCATCCATCCATCCATCCATTTTCTGATCCGCTTATCCTCACAAGGGCCTCCCAGCTGTATTCGGCAGTAGGCGGGGGACACCCTGAATTAGCTGCCAGCCAATCACAGGGCACACAGAGACGAACAACCATCCAAGCTCACACTCACACCTGGGGACAATTTTGAGTGTTCCATTAACCTGCCATGCATGTTTTTGGAATGTGGGAGGAAACCGAAGTACCCAGAGAAAAGCCACGCAGACACAAGGAGAACATGCAAACTCCACACAGGAAGGCCAGAGCCGAAATCGAACCATGCACCTCTGCACTGTGAGGCCGACGAGCTAAACCCAAATGTATTCTGTATTTAAAAAAAAAAAAAAAAAAACGCAAATGACCTTCCAATACTTTTGGAGGGGACTGTATGTTCTGTCTGTGTGTCATTTCAGTTTTGGAATAATTTGGCCGATTAACTGTACTGTATAGTTGCTATCACATTGTGTCAGCCAATCTCACTTAAAATGAACACTAATTGACAATTTAGAGTTTTAAATGAAGCCAACACGTACACGTAAGCGTGGGATCAGTGGTTGTTCGGCTCTGATCAAATTCCACATAATCACCTATATGTTTAATAAATAAAACTATTCATCAGGCCCTTGTTGATTGCATCCGATTTACATATTCTCAATCTGCTACTCTCTGTACGCGTGTGGCTGTATGTGTTAGTATTTGTTTCAAGGAGCTAATCTATTACCATTCACACCTTGCTCCATGACGCCCACTTGTTTCAATTTGCACCGTTGTTCTCACAGTCTGTTCCAATCTGCAGTTGTTGTTTTGTTTTTTTTTTTTAATTGCATCATCTTGGCAGAGCTGAGTGACACCCGTGCCAGACAAAGGCTGCGTGTCGCTTACTGAAGAGGACAAGCAAGCGCTCACCCGGATAATAAAGGCGGACGTCGAAAAATAAAAGCAAGAAAATAAACAGAGAAATACATTTAAACGAGCGGGATGGCCTGAGATGCATTTGAGAAGTTGAAAGTATATATGTGTTAAGAAAAGACAGCACAAAACTGAAATAAGATGGAGGATTAATGTAATTTTTCGCTGTGTTCGGGAAAACTGGCAAAGAGGACAGAATGTACAAGCTTATAAGGTTCGACCTCAGGAGAAATGTGTGGAAGGTCAACAAAAATATATGGCTGACAACTGCAATAAGATAGTGTTTGTGAGCAGACATTCTGGCTCTCAGCAGTGTGGGAAAACAAACCGAATCCATTTCGGAAGCATTGACACATTTTGCCAATTAGTCGCTGGGTGCGTCATTAACTGAAGACAAATAAACCCCTCCTTCAAATGGACACTTCTTTTTTCTCTTTTGTTATTTGCATCACATCCATCGGCCATATGCAATACTTGGACCAAACTAATAATAAATTGGTACGACTTATTGTTCGAATGACTTTCTCAGATTTTCCAAAAGAGGCAATGCAAATCAAAGCAGCATAAATTCATCAGTCTGTTGGGTATAAGTCGAATTTTTGAAACAAGCCTCCCGATGATAACAGTATTCATCCATTACCTGAACCGTTTTATCCTCACAAGGGTCGCGGGTGTGTTGGAGCCTATCCCAGGTGTTTTCGGGCAGTAGACGCGATACACCCTGAACTGGTTGCCGGCCAATCGTAAGTCACACAAAGACCAACAAACATTTGTACTCACAATCAGATTTACGGACAATTCACAGTGGTCCATTAACCTGTCATGCATGTTTTGGGATGTGGGAGGAAACCTGAGTCCCCGTAGAAATGTATAAATTGTAAAGATGTCAAAATAATCCTTAATTGAATTAAAAGCTCGTTCAATGAAAAACCCTTTCAGGGACAGAGGTCACTACAGTGGACATCTAATCATGTTATCAGGTTACGGGTTATCTTTATTGGTAAATGACAGGGCTAACATTTAACCTTTTATTTGCACCCATTGCATTTGAACAGGATACCAGAATAGTCAATGAAAGCTACTGTTTGGCCAAGAAGCACCTCAAATATAATTTACATAATAATTTGTTGAGATTGGTCACTGATGCTGTACCAGTAAAAGGATCTTGGTTCACCATCCATAGATGTCTGCCTTGAGTTCAAGTTCTTCTCCACCAACCTCATCCAGTCATGCTCGACAGTAATGTACTTTGCCTTGCGCATCCAAAAAGGTCTTACCCAAACTGTGCCCACAAAATTGGAAGCATTCAATTATCCATCATGACCTCATAACTAAACAAGTAAATTCAGCAACTCAGAGGTCTTGTCCAAGTCATAACTGATTTATTAATTAAAAGAAGTCTTTTTTTTTTCTATTTCGGCTACAATGTAAAGCTACCAATAAATTCCTCACATTTAGAATCCCTCAAATACACATGCAATTACCATCTCCTTCTCATAACACGGTTCAGACACCCTATTTCCCTAAAGCAACGCGATTGGATCATCCCAGGTCTTTCCAAACCAATGTTGACAGTTCTTGGGGCAATAAAAGCTAAACTGGCTTTTCCGAGGGAAAAGGGGGGGGGGGAGCAAAATGCGCAGCAAATTTCACCACTCTGTCATTAATCGTTTGATGGCAACGAGTTGAGAAGATGAGAAGAGGATAGAGGATGAGTGTAGAAGATGGAAGCTAAGCGAGAGAACTCACCTGAGGGTCTTGGGTAGGTGTACGCTGTAAGAAAATGGAGCACCGGTTAACATGTAGATACTGTAAGTCCAAGAGTCAAGAAAATAGAACTTCTAAAAGCAAAGAATTGTGTACTGTGTGGGGGAGTTTCACTACAAAATATGTCGGACAAAATTGAATGTGGACGACCCTTGTGCATGACATCACGCAAGATTTCACCAAGCCTGAGAAAAACTCCTATCAGTGAGAATCAAAGGCTTTCTCCTTAGCTCTGGGTGGATTTTTTTTGGGTTGCTGCATTTATAAAAAGATACCTACAAGTCATGTTTAAATCTGGATGGATAGATCGATAGATACGGCCAAATAATAGGATGGCAGGTTGTGTTGTGGGTCAATGTGTTCTGGAGGGATCTGAGTCATTTTAAGAACAAAAGAGATGAAATTGTGCTAAAAGTGTCAATACTAACAACTACATACAGGTGTTAATAAATGTTTTAGCCCTGTGAAATATAACCTGCCAGTGTACCTCTACTTTTGGCCCTCCGTATATGGTATGTTGATCGTCTTTATGCTTTCATATGAACAGCTGCTATTTTTGCGACAAATGCTAAATATCGCTTCAACTTGATTATATTTTTTGATGGCAACTCTGCTATTTCCATTATCCCGAATGAGAAATACGTTCATTGCATTAAAAAAAATAAAATAAAAAATTAAATTTTGTGAGAAAAAAAAAAACTAACATCGTTTAAAAAAATGTAGTTTTTGCATCAAAAGTGAATTTTGTCATGATTTCTTTGGCAGCAAAGTAATGCTCAGTGCATAGGTGCTTTATGAGTTCATAAAAAAATGAAAAAAACATATTGTGTTTGAAATGAAGAGTATCTCTGCATATTCATCAGTGTATGAACACTCACGCTCTGAGTACTGGATGGTGCGACTGACGTATTCCCCGGTGCTGTAGGTGGTGATGGGAGCCAATCGGACCTCATAGGAAAGAGGTATTCTCAGGTCGGGAATGGTGTAGGACATCAGCACTCCCTTCTCTGGCTCCTTGCTCTTGATTTCGATGTGCTTCGACAGCACATCCTGCTTGTTCTGGATCGCGGTAGCGAGGGAGAGGCAGAGCTTTAGACATACTGTACAAGAATATCTACAGGTGTGGAAAAAAAAAGACACTGGCGAGCAGAATTGAATTCCCGCAGTGCACAAACACAGCAAATAGGATCACAAGTACAAGAAATCTGCTTGAGACGCAGATAAAATAAAAGATGCATTCAAAAGACTGCAGAATTGCCTGAATAACTTTATTCTCCCCCCTCTTTTGTCCCCTCTGCTCTGGATGTATATTGCTTACTTCTGAATTCCTTTCTTTCAAAGTACCTTGTACTATAACGTCAATATTTGTACTGGGGCACCTAGAGATTGTAAACATTTGCATAACTGTCACTCGTATCTCTCAGCCACACTGGCGGCTGCTTCCGAAAAAAAAACAAACTAATAAGTTAATGAGGATACAAGGTTAAGCAGGACATGTATGACAAATACACACAATTCAAATCTGATGAGATTACAGGCTTCCTGATTGGAGCTCGGCAGATATGTACTTTGTGCTGTGGATAATCACTAATGGTAGCGTATTGATCATCATATCCTTGTATTATTTTACGACAACGCTTGCCCTTCATATTTGCCTTTACGACCAACGGGAAATGGGTACGAGCCAATTCCAAGCGTTTTCCTTGCACGTATGCTTCGGAGATGGTTTATATGAGATTTTCATCGTATTTTTGTCTCCAAAAAGCAATGTATTGGAATTATTAGAAAATTTACATATTTTGACGGTAAATGGTGAAAAGAAACAATTATGAGGATAAATTGTAATACAACTCAAGAAAAAAAAAACGTTACTACTTTTGAGGGCACATGAAAAAAATCCCATTTTATTCCTCTTGATTTTAAGAAAAACAGTTTTTCTATTTTATAATGATATCAAATTATAGTTATTTATTGCATTTCTGAAGAGAAGGAAATAACGCTAGCGGTTGTATTATTGTGCTTCATTCAATTCTGACCCCTCAGACTCCACTTGGTCCAGCACAGAAACGTGACATAACCAACCGTCAGTAAATCTGAAATCAAATAAATTGGAATCGAACTGGCGAGTGGAAAATTGTTAATTCAGCGCAGCTCTTACCTTGCAAAACTAAAAGCAAATCAGGTCTGAGTGTGTAATTTGTTGACACCGTTTTAACAATGCTTTTGCTGTGTTAGTCCGCCCCCGTCTAGAAGGCTCCATTAGCTGTGTATCTGACGCTGAGCCGAGCTACTTAAAGACCTGACAGTGAGCTCTCTCTAATGCATTTAGGTCAGCCACTCGACCATGACACGCTGGTACGCCCACAGTGTGCCATTATCAGGTAATGCATGCAACAGAAGTGTGTGTTTGTCTGCGTGCGTGTGTGCGTGTGTGTATGAACGGGTTAAACGGATGAAAAGTGCAGGGACTTTACATCATGGGCATGAAACACGGATACCATGCAACGCAGACGGTCAGTACACGATATTGTATACTGTCCTCTCAACAACTAACTCACTAAACCATCTCTTGTACCAAAACATGCAAAAGAGCCTGTTTATTACGTAAACATTGCTAGAAAATGCACGCGCTCGCTCTCAGGCAATGGAGGGAAGTAAAACCATGTCTTAGCTTTAGATGTAGTTTCTCATCTGCATCGTGACCACCATGTCGCATTTTTGTAGAGTTTCAACATCCCATCTGGAATCCACGGCAATCACGGCAAGTCAAATTTGTCCATAACACCCCCTGCCCCGTCTCGCATCGTCTCACAATGATCTCCCTTGGGCCATAGTGGCTTTTTTTCCCCACTGTTCATGACTCACCGAGGTTATCCCAATGGCAATGACAAAATGTATTTTTGCTTGCTGGATGTTGACTTAAGACGCAGACTCATGGAGACACAATACCCAATTCACAACTCTAATGTCAATACCTTTTGTTGGCTTTCCTTCACCTAACCCTTCCCTCAGTGTTACTTCAGGTGAGCTGAGCAGGTGCAACACGGCTTGAAAGGCTGCCTCCGCCCTAATACCCCCTCCCCTCACACATTTTCAATGTCTTTTTAGTTGCACTTGTTAACCTGATTTTGTTAAATCTCCTATTCATGTGACAGGGGTATTTTTCCAATCCAACACTGTGCCTCTCCCCTAATTTCTTTCACAAATTGAACAATATCATGAGTCATTCGCTCACATTCAAACCGCATTATTTTCCTTTTGAAAAATTCTGCTTGTTTTGACAGATTCTGCACTGTGAGCCACACCGGCTACCGGGGCTAACATACGTTCCGGGGCTAACATACATGAATCAACATTTAGGTTCCCACTATAATGCAAAGAGTTACGCCCCGTGTTCATCCATGTAAGCATTCTCATATCCCATAAACACACGGTGCATAATGATGTGCAAAATTGGGAGAAAGGTGGAGCTGGTGTGCATATGCATTCTGCGATAAGTGGGGAAGAGATGCCACTGATGCAGTGGAAACTGAGCCTCAGAAGTGAGAGGACAAAGTATTACGAGGAATCAAGATCTGCAAATGCACATATGTACATATGTTTTGGTTATGGAAAATAGATATAAATGTTTGTATATGTCTATGCAGCCTTTTTGAGTCAACAACATATTTTTCCTGTCTACAATTCCATTAAGACGAACTCTCCATGTGCAACTTCACTGAGATTTTTAAAACATTTTGATGGCTTCTTCTGTGCTCATCTGGATGGTCGACTATCAAAGATAAAATGAATGTGCAGACATCATATTTTCCAATGAATTGAGAGTGCTTTTAGTTGAACTGCTGCAGTTTGTTTAGTGCCTTGGCCTGGCTGGCTTCCTGAAGGTTGTGAACAGTTTGCGTAAGCCCACTTTCCGCCCGCCAGTCAGAACATTTTTGTTATATTTCTATAAAGACTCACAATGTATCCTAAAGATACAAGTCGCAGTATGCTTGTAGCGTGGAACCTGACGCATGATTGGGCCACTGATTGTTCGACAGAGAACGGTCGATTCAATTTTTGAGTGAAATGTTATGTAATAAGGAAATGTGGATGACAATGGAGGGAGGAATGTATGCCACATGGGTCGCTTGGGTGGGGAATCAGAGTATCTTACTGTCACGGTTGGTTTGTTTGGGAGCAACAGGTGGCTCTGTAGGGCTCCTCCTACATCGGCACACCTGTTGGTCATCATGTCATTAGTTTTCTGTGAAAATGGCTCCCGGGCCGAACACTCGGTGTCGGGTCGTTGCTGTTTCTGACTCTGTTTCTGTTAGTGTTTTGCTTCTGCCATCGGTTTTTGATTGTTGCTTTGGATTCTTGTTTCCAGGACTTTGTTTCTTCTGGATTTAGTTTTCTCAGCATTTTGTGAATACAGTTTGTAAAGTTCACCCTGCTCCTCCTTCTTGCCTGCTTTTTGGGGGTCCTCCACCACCCCTGCACCGTGACACTTACAATACAATATTATCCAGATATTTTTCCAACAAAACCTATCGACCATACATTTAGGAAGAATACAATATCTACAAAAGTGATGAAGGGGAAATGCATCAAAAATGCAGATCAAAATATGCTATGCTCAATGACTTTTGCAGGAATAGGGACATTTGCAGCATTAAAAAGTAAACAAATGGTAGCAACTGTGACACTGGAAAGAGCCAATATCTGTATGACGCAGTTGTATGCATAATCCTGGTCAATCCCAGTTGTTTACAATTACTGTACTATGAGATCGGTAATTAGAAACAGAGAAAGACATTTTGGATTCATGTTGCGTCACCATCTTGAGTCACATTATGAAAATTCATCGGCTTCTCGCTTGAATGATCAGTTTTATTGTAAGAATTTGTATAATTCCCTTATAAATTTTCACAAGTTAAAAACAGGCCTGTTCACCCTAATAGGTGCTTAGGCTAACTAAAGTTCTAGAATCAGTTTGACATTTTAGATTAAGCTACATCAGCAAATTTGCGTAAAATATGAAACATTCATAGACTATTTACTTTGACCACATCATCTACATCTCGTGTCGCACATCGCTCCAGATCAATAACCGCCCTGCGGTTGTTCAACAGGGGAGAGCAATGATATCTGCAGACACAAGCTCCTTTTCCTCACTCGAAACACACCAGTCAGTCAGTTCAATTTCAAAACCTTTCCATTAGAGTCACCGCTTCCTTTTGTAAAGATAACAAGTCAAATTACGTGTGAAAAGAGTGTAAGATTGTTGAGGCCTTCGCACAATGGAAACAAAGAATTATGCGCATGGGCTAAATATGGATCGAGAACACGAGAGGCGACGGCCTCTTCAAATAATAAAGACTGTGGGGTTAATTATTCGCTCATCCTCTATTAATGGCTCGCTTTCATGACTACATCCGGCAGTCTGTCGCTCTGAACCGTGTGTATGTGAAGTCATGCTTTGTGTTTATGAGCACGTGGGACCAGCAGCTGTGGAGTCTTGAGAGAGATTAGAGTTGACTAAATCTGTATCGTGGGCGATATTACATCCTAATATTATTCAGTTACCAGATTCAATGTACACTTTTAATTCATCGTGATTTATTTTCGTCTTCTTTTTTTTTTCTTCAAATTTCTCATATATATGATAATGGGAGGTCTGCTCCAGCTGTACGAGTCGTGACACATTCAGACCCTATTTTCGTGCCCAGCGCAAGTCTGGTGCCAAGTGTGGTCTAATTGCGCGCATGGGTGCAGTTTTCTTTCTTTGACATTTTCGAAGATGGGCGCAGTTAGAAGCGGACGTTTGCGCCATTGTGGTGCTTAAGACTTCAGACAAACCTAACAAGCAGAAGCCGACACGTGTGTTTGTATGCGGGTGTTCAAAAGTATGTCAATTCTACAGTAAAGATGTCTGCTCCACATTTGATCTGAGTGTGGGTGTGTTACGGTCTCAACGTGTCCCCCCCGAGAGCCCCACATCATCAAGCACGTTCTAAAAAGATGGAGTGCTGAGGCGTTAAGAGGATGAGCCGTAGAAAGTGTTGCCAGAATAGATGGCTTGAGAAATTGAGATGGTGTGACTTTTCAGTGATCTGCTCCTCTCGTTGATAGTTCAAGGATCAGTCAAGATTTCATGTTTTCCTTTCATTTGCATCTTCTTGTCTGTCAAAAGACTGTTTCACCATTCTGACATAACCATTATTGATATTTGACTTCAGTTCACCCATCAAACAGGCTCAGGCATGCAGTCACATGCAGACTGCACAAAAAGCCTCCACGGCCCAATTCAAAATTCTCAAAAGTGGCTCATCTACAGGTTTAAAAAAAAAAAAAAGTTATACTTTTAATCAGGTGACGCAAATAAAGTTACCTTGCGTCAAATGCGCACAAATAAAGCTGCCCTGCCTTGCCTTGACATGACATGAATTACATGACATGAAGCATGGAAGAAGCAAAGGCTTGCAGCTCACAGTCAGGAGAAGCACAATGCCAAAGGCCTCAAATTCGACCGATGTGCTTCAAAAGGGCCACAATTCAACCTCCAAGAACTCCAATTTCAAACTTGTGCTGTTTCACGAGCAGAAACAAAACAACTTCAATTAAGACATTTCTTGTGGTTGAATGTGTCTTATAGTTATTTTATTCAAAACATATATATCATTTTATCATGGGTTTTTTTTTTTTTTTGCTATATCATATGTATAAAAAAAACACTAAATCAGAAGTTATGCACCAGTTACTCAGTGCATGAGTCTTTTTTGAGGCAGTCTTGAGGGCTCAGTTGAACGGAAAAAGAAAAGAAATGGCGAATTATTCTCAATACATGAACAGCTGCAGGCTAAGAGGTGGGCAATCACAAGACTAAAAGTGTATGTGTGTGTGTTTTATTATATATTTTTTTCCTAATCAGAGCACAAAGCACAGTGATCGAGGAGAAAAGCGGAAGGCCCATGAAATACAATGAAATTGGAATCTCAATGAAGGACACAGATAATTCTCCTCCTCTCTGTGTAGCCTTACTTCATTTGACCAGCCTTCCGGTATTGAAATAGGAGTAGAAGAAACTATTCAGCTGCACAAATGCAAGTTGGCATTGTCTACATTCTAGTTTGCAGGAATCCATGCACGAGCGCAGACACACACAAACACCGAAGAAGGGCAGTCTTCAGGGCTCAAATGAAAGAAAATAAGAAAATAAATGGATAATTATTCAGATTAAAAAGCATGTAGCCACTTTGATTCGTATTTTTTCTCAACCCTCATAACGCGCGCTTAACTGAGCCTTACTCTCTATGTGTTTTGTACTTAACATCACGTTCCAAAAATAGATGCTGTACCTTGGATCGAAAAGAGATGTCACATGAAAATAAACTCACTGACAAGTCGTGAGCCTCGGAAGACAGGCAATTAAAAAAAATAAATAAAAGAAGAGGCGGTGCACCGTCTCATTGTTTATTCAGTCTAAGTCCCCAATTGATTAACTACACACTCACTCGCCCTCCCAGAGCTCTTAATGGCCCACGCTTACTTTGCATGCACGCTCCGCTAGATACAGATGTGCATCCTTGTGCTTGACAAAACAGGCAGACCTCACTGTGTGTTCATGTGCGTGTTTGTGTATTACGCAGTGTTTCACAGGTAAGTTAAATTTAGTCCTGTTTAAATGAAACTAACATGCATGTATTGGAAATCTGTAAAAAAAAAAAAAAAAAAAGATGGCGTACCCATAAAAAAGATACTTGCTGGCGCAAGGGCGTACGTGCAGACACCACACAGAAAGGCCCGAGCATAAATTTAAACCCACAATTTCTGACTGTGATGCGTTAACTACAAGCCCCAACTTTCCATACATTTTGCAGGTTCCTTCGGTGCATAATGACGTTTGGCTTTACCTTCCGGACAACAATCCAGTAGCCGATGATGCGATCTGTAGCCTCGGGATCTTTCTGGGTCCACTGCAGGTTGTAAGAGTAGTTGTTCTCTTTCAGAATTCTGACCGGGTTGGGTGTGTCGAAGTAGAATTCAACACTGTAAGGTTGCGCTTGAGAGCATTGAGAGAAAAGAAGAAACGTTCTCGGTTTATTTGCCAATTCCATCACTAAACTTCATTTTGCAGTTGCGGTGTTCTCCCAAATTTTTCATTGAAAGAAAATGTTGATCGGCCAACACTGTGGAGGCCTTTGGAAGACAAATATCTCAGTGAAGAACACAAAACATGGCAAAATTCAGATTCATGCAAAGGGTATAATTCATTGCTGATCTAATTTAGGAGCGTTTGACGCCACATCATTGTCAATTATAGTTTTGGGTTTCTTACCAGAGACATTAAATCTGCATGTGGATGTTCCTACACTATTGCTGACTCTGCACTCATAAGATCCGTTGTTAGTAGGCTCCAGTTTGAATCTCAGCTCTGGAGTCTCCTTCAGGTCCGGCATGGGCATGAGGATGAAGTTGCCGTTGCGGTACCAGCGGATGTCCGTGATACGTGATGGATTGGAGCGGAGGACAGAACACCTGAGGGTCACCATCTGATAGTTCCTTGCACGTGTGTCTTGATACACTGGGTCCAGAATGGGAGGATCTGTCAAGACAACAAGTACACAAACTTTTAGTCGGATTATGTACTTTATAAATGTCAACACTGATGCCTGAGCATGCGCTTGCGATCCAAAATGGTGGCAACCCCCTACTATAACACTCTAAATTGTCCCAAGGTGTGATTGTGAGTAAGAATGATTGTTTGTCTCGATGTGCCCTGCGATTGGCTACGATTGGCTGCCGACCAGTCCAGGGTGTACCCTTCCTCACGCCGGGATTGGCTCAAACTCATCCACAAACGGATGGATGAGGGATGTACTCAACACTATATCAGACCAAACTGGATGAAGAAGACACGACACAGCCTTTCGGGCTGCGTTAACAAGTTCGATGTCATCATGTCGCTGGAAAGACGACTTAAACAGAAATCCTGAATAACTTCTCTGACATCCGCAATATTACCATGACAACTTCAACATTTCCCAGAAGCACAAACCTTTCTGTCCTGTTAACCTACCGAACAAGCCACAATTAACCTGCCTGCAGCCTTGCCTGCCTTTGCGGATATTGACTGACTATCTGGTGTTGCCTCAAGGTTAGCGAAGACACAACACAGGCAAATTAGTCCACCACAAATCACCGGGCAGCTAGTTCACCCCCCGGCTAATCATGTGCATAATAGACACGCTGCTAATGGCAGTACCGCCTTACTAACAGCGTCGAGATTGTGTGTTCGTGGTCCCAGGGGTGAGGGAGCGTTGCTACAGTACATTAGGAGTCACGTTTATCAGATGCAGGTGTAATTATAGTCTAATCTATGTCATATAGACAGACTGGAATGGTGAAATCAATGAGCAGAACGGTCTGAAGAGCGATGCGAAGACCATGCGGTGGTGGGACTACGGTCACATAGCCTGCTGCTGTTTAGAGGCAAATACAGTCGGCATGCTGATGTCTGACTTTGGGAACATGTGTCATGGGCACTGAGAGAAGGTAAAGTGTGGAGAGGACTGAGTGGGAAGTCGGACATTTTTGAACAGGAAGGCCTTTATGTGAAACATTTTTGGTTTTTAACACACGGGCCAACGAGGGTGTGTTTGCCCTTTCGGACCATTCGACAAAATGGGATCATTTGGTGACTGGGCGCATTTTAAACCGCTTCTCACTGGTTATTGTTAAATACAATGACAATATATCCTGTATCCAAGATATGTTCTCTTTTTGAGACCAATGAAAGTATGAAGCTTGATTTTTCGTCAAATCTGTGATTTGGTTTTCTTAGTCGACATATTCTTCCACTCCACTATGGCTCATGATGCTCTTAGGTCCTTTCGCCGTTTAAAGTATTTGAGATCTGTAGAAAAGATGTCATCATTGTATCCTAATCACAGTCTGATTTCTGCATCAAGCCACTGTTTTGGTCTTGGTGTCATGTTTAAGAGCAACATACGTATTTAAGTTGACTGTTCTTCTGTATGGACTTGTATAGCTTTTAAAAAGCCAAAAATGGTCATGATACCTCAGTGATGCCTCACTCTTTCAAATTCTCTCAAGCATCTTGCCACAATACTTCACGTCATCAGAAGAGCACTCTGAATGCAAACAAAGGTTTCGATGAATGCATATAGATTCGTCCCCCGGGACAGCAACACTAACCGTGCCGAACATTTACAGTAAACAAAGTAAAAATCAATTTAGAGCGGGATGTGGTGTGTGAACGCAGCAACGAGGGATGACAGGGAGGGAGAAAGCAACAATGAGGAAGACGAACGATGGGGAAAAATACGCCGTGAAAGTGAACGAAGTCGATGATTGAATATGAGCGAAAGGATGCAGAGACGGAATGACCGGACCGGATAGACAGAGGGTGGGCGAGGGAGAGGGTCCTCCCTCCGTTAGTTGATTGATGATGATGAGAATGGCAATGAGGAAGAACAGCCAGGTGGGATGGAAAGAATAACATGCAAAGAAAACAGAGCGGGGGGCAAGTTTGACAAGACTGCATGGATACTTAATTGCATCTGCCATCAAAATCTTTCCCTCACATCGATAACAGTCCAAAATGGACAAACAAACAAAAAAAAACAGTACAACGTGACACGAATTAAGGACGGCGTGAAATGGAGACAGATCTGTTTTCCAACACATTCCTGAGCTGCTGTTGAATTGCTCTCTACCCTTTTTGCTTACCGTGTTGTCCATCGCCATAACCTGACCAGAACACGTTTTTGGTTGTTTTTTTAATGTTAGTGCCTCACTATGCATCCCCTCATCTCCCCTTATGCCACTTGTCCATTTCAGGCTCGCTCTTAAACCTGTTTTTCGTCCACACGCGCTTGCTGGTCTATCCATGTGTCTCGTCTCGATGTTTCTCTCTGCACCAAGAATGGGGTGGCCACCTGGTCCATTAATCAGACTTGGCCAGTGTGGACAGCAGGGCTCACACAGTGTTGCCCTTCCGCCCGGCTTGCATTAGCAAGCCCTGTAAATCCTTGCGGACGAAGGGAGCACAATGGAATCCAGTAATTTAAACTGCTTCATTCTGCTCCGGCTACATCATATACAGTATATCTTGGCTGCCTCAATTACAATAATAATATTGAATCATTTTTTTGGTTTGTTTTTAATGAAGGGGACATGAAACTAAAATCTAGACTACTTCAGTAAAAGCACCTAGCATCGAGCTGACTTAAATCATTCAAGGACAATAAAACAATGACAAAGGAATGGCGGGAATTCTGTTCCTCTGATGGGTGGAAACTCAGATGGGGTGCCAAATAAATTCATGTCATTTTACGATTTCATCTTTTTATATTTTTTTTCTCAGAGGTTTTTGAGATGAAAGTCTACTCACATTTATGATATCAGTCACTACTTCAGAGGTGTATGGTTGTGTTTGCACTTGTACTTTACTATACTTGTCTGGAACGATGTGACAAAAATGTTGACTCTTGGCTTTCTCTTCACTCATCTTTAACATCGGACCAAACATTTCCCAGGACTCGACAAGTTGAACAGGCCCAACGTGGTACAAGTGTTCCCGTTGTAGAGGTAGAAAAATGGATTTCTTCGGCGAAAATGTTCACTTCAACACTCACATTGCACAATGAGCTGGACCTGGGCCTCTCGCCGTTTGATGTTGAGTCCGTTGTAAGGAGCAGTCTGGCAGCGGTAAAAGCCCATCATGTCGCGGCTTACGTTTCTCAGCTTCAAGCGGCCATCGGGCGTCTCCGCCACAGCCTTCCCAGATGGCATCAGCAGGTCCTTTTCGGTGCGGGACCATAAGATCGGTGGACGCGGCTTACCATCCACCACCAAGCACACCAGCTCTGCCGTCCCGCCTTCTCGTGCACTAACCACGTGACCTCCTGCAGGGACCGTCAGTATTGGGGGAGATACTAGGAGGTGGAAAAATGCAAAAGATCGAACATACATTAATCGAAACAACATATCATCATGGCGTAGCACTTAGTATGCAAGGCAATGCTTAGGATCTGTGAGGTGAGTGTTGACATAAAAACCACAGATGGTGTCCGACAGTTAAACTTGAAAACAGAGGCAGATGGCGAATAAAAAGGTACAAAAGAAAGCGACGTTAACAAGGCAAATTTTATTGAACACTCACGCCGCTTTAATGCAACATGGGAACCGTGAAGAGCGACGGCTGTACAGTTTGGAGCGCTAACATTGTGGCTAATTACTACACATGGAGTAAAGTACGTACTTGTTGGCATTCATTCTGGTAAAATGGGATGGACAAAGGGCAAAAAGGAAAGCGCGGGTGTGGTTCATGGTGTACACTGTAGCAGTCCACTCTCCCATGTGCTCACTCTCAGCCAATTTATTTTTAATCGGCAGTTTAGCGCTCCCCTGACCGTCTCCTCCCCAAGGAACGCGTCATCAAGATACCTCGGCACTTGGCCGAATAAATTACTCCCATGATTGTATAGATGAAGGTATTTTTTTAATGGAGTTCAATTTTGGTGTGCAATTCAGGCGTCGAGTTTATTGTATTGTTTTAACATGACAGCAGCAAAGAAAAATGGAAATGACCTGTAGCTGATGTCAACATTGAGTAACTTTTCGCACAAAGTTTGAGAGAAGAAATGACTTGATATTAGGACAGGTTGTCTTTTAACTCAGAGGTCCCCAACCTTTAAAATATTGTCTGACATGAAACCGGTCCGCGGGGTTTGCCCCGCGGACCGGTTTCATGTCAGACAATATTTTCAGGGACCGGCCTTTAAGGCCGGATAGATCCAACAATATAATATGATATGACCTGCTTGAAAAGTCTGGTATTTTCGAAACATAATAATAAATACCAATCATGACACGAGGAACGTCCTATCTGGCCACAACATTCTCTGGTCGCTATGGTAACGTTTAAACGTGCGTTCAAAATAAGATACGGCGCAAATAAAAAATGCATGAAAAATACGACTCACCATCGCCGCTTATTATGCAGAGCTGGCTTGGTGCGTGTGAATCTCCCGTTGAGATAAAGCCGTATTTGAAATAGGACTCCTGATACCGTCGATTAAATGTAGCCTTCTCTTTCCTGAAAGTCCTCTTCTGTCTCCTGGCTGGGCCTTTTCCCCTTCCCGAAAAAAACTTTTCAAAAACGTTTGTTTTTTATGCGGTAACCTATCACGTGACCGAGAAGCGCGCATTCACCTGCGTCAAGAGTGACATACTGGAGACTGATAAAACAGAGAATCCAGTAATTTTTCAAAATTAAACATCTTTCAGATTCCAAAATGAATAAAACGGAAGGAGTGTAAGTTATTTATTCTTTCTGTCCGCGGCCCGGCGGTTGGGGACCCCTGTTTTAACTGACAGACACTTTGGAAGTCATGCAAATATGAGACACATGGATGGATAGGAGAAAAAAGGCCCCCCCCAAAAAAAAAAAAAAGATCTTACCACTGTTCTGGGAGATGTTGACATCCACTCGGAGCTCCGCCACGCTGCTGCCCGGGAAGTTTGCCACGCAGCTATAGGTGGCCAAGTCTCGGAATTTCATGTCCACGATCTCCAAGCTGCTGGTGCCCGGGGCCATATCGGGATCGCTGCGCAGCAAGATCAGACTATCCGTGTTGAAGACCAACGCGCCATTCTTGTACCAGGTGTAGTTGACCTTGTCCTGAGGGTTGGCATCGACGTGACACGACAGCTTGAGGTCTCGACCCATCTGGATGGTCTCGCTGTCCTTGTTGGAATCCGGAGTAATCTGGAAGGTCAGGTTGCTCATGGCTGGGTCAACAAAGGAGGAGGGCTGGTTAACTGGAAGCTAATTGAATCTCAGAGCATTGGGTGGAAAATATTTAACACTCTGTTTCTCACAAAATATAAAGAAAAGGCAGAATTAGTGCAATGTAAAATAAAAATGTTTTTCTGTCCCAATCTTTATCACGAACACGGACTCTGAAGTTCACGGCTGACGCTAGCTCCGTGTTTATACTATTTTAACCAACGGCAGCGTAATAAATTAACATATTTGGAACATATTAAATTAGTGATGGAGCATATATTAATTAATGTGGTGTTTACGCTGATGTGAGTGTGTACATCACAACAATATAAGGTATAAGAAGACTTGATATGATAAAATATTAACCAAATTAAGCAATGACTGATGGATTAAGGATGACTATATTTAAAAAAAAAAATACACCTGAATGAATTACAATTTTTGGAATACAGTGTGCAAGTAACAGGCTTTAGAGGCGAAAGTAGAATGTGGGACAAATGGTTCGAGGCATACGGATGATGCAAAAATGACTCAAAGCGACAAAAAGAGAAGAAAAAAGGTTATTAAAGCAGGAAGCGTGAGAGGGGAAGAAGGAAATTGTGTGACATAAAAGGAGCCTTGCATAGAATAAAACAGAAAGTCGCCACGAGAGAGGAACAAAATAAAGGACAAAGAGTAACTCTCACAGTGTCACATTTAATTTTCACTTTCAAAAGCTACGCATTCCCCAGCTGATTTCAGCACTGAATACAAAACAGTTGTGTGTTTCCCTCCTTGAAGGGATGAAAAGGCAGCGAGCAGTTTAGGCGAGTTTGATTTCAGCATCTTTACAGCCTGCTCGGAGATGCCGGAGAGAGTCACGTGTGAGGCACTGACCATATGTTTAACACGCACCTCTGTCTGGAGACGGTACTGCCAGTCTACTACGCATGCATGCTCAATATAGTGTGTGTGTGTGTGTGTGTGTGTGTGTGTGTGTGTGTGTGTGTGTGTGTACAGATTTGCACTGTTCTTACGCTTATGCACACACACACACGCACACACACACACACACACACACGCAAAAAGTGTATATCTCATTTGCTGCCTTGTCACCTGTGTTGGTGCGATGACGCGTTCAGGCCGATTAGGTTTAACAGGAGAAAGCCATCAAGCATACATTGTCCGCGGCGTTAGCTAACACGGGCGAGACTTTCGCTAATTGCTTCCAGTCCGCTCCAAATAATTGGAGTGAATAAAGATGATTAAAGGGACTAAAAATAGCTGCAGGGGAGAAGCAATGGAGGGCTTCTGTATCCACGGTGGTTGAGGGGTCG